TATATATATATATATATATATATATATATATATATATATATATATATAAACAATTCCATATATTTTACAAATTTCAAAAGACCAGATGTGACTACTCATAACTATATATAAATATATATATATATTTACATATAAATGATTTCATATATTTTACAAATTTCAAAAGACCAGATGTGACCACTATATAACTCCTGATTGTAAGGTTTTTACATTGCCTCTGAAAAACTCAACTCTTACCTTAGCAGCATGTGGCAAGAGTTGCAGGAGGTGATCTTCTCGAACGTGTGCATGTGGAATTCGTGAAGGTTGCTGTTGCCGTTCTCAGGTCGAATGTTGGATCTGAAAAGTAAAAAACATCCAACAACGTCCATCATACACACAATTACCCGTGAACTCGGCCGATCTAAATCTCACAGTACATCCCTGGGTAACAATGACAGCTCAGACACTAAGCTTCAGCAAGGACCTGACTGAGTCGGCTATATTAGAGAAAACTACGAGTCGTATTTGACTAAAGAGGCTAAAGAAACTCCCAGGCATTGTTTGAACCACAAATGTAGCGCAGCGTGGTCAGCCCTGTCACAACAGTGGGCCTTTATGAGCAAGTGGGTTCATGTTTTCTACACTTTTTTTGTAGATACTCCAGCTCCTAGAAACATGCAGTCTTTACAGTAACTGTAAGTAAACAGGATACTGTACAGGAACTGTAGCATTTCGTTTCTAAATTGAAAATCTGTCTGAATCATCTTTCGATGCATCACACCAATTTAAACAGAGACAGACGTGCAAATAAAATGCGGCACATAAAAATATCTTGGCGCTCCTTGACAACTGCGATCACATGACTGACAAAATGGTCTCCGGTGTGTTGCTAGAAATTTGTGATGTCAAAAATGTTGGGAACAACCACATGAAAGCACAGGCTTTCACAAATCATTTGTTTGAAATCATTCGCTGACAAAAAAAAAAAAAAAAAATCCCATCTGCGACTCTGGTGATCGACAGTGGTGATGTCTTGTACTTGATTGGCTGTTTACCTTCAAATTCAAAATTCTTTTAGCGATGTCAGACATTTATAGTCTTTCATTGTTAGCATTGTCTGGGGAAGATTATCTCAAATGCATTTTCATCATAAAGTGTCGCTGTGAATGAATGAAAGTGGGCGTCTAAATACCGACAGTCAATGCAGTTGTTTTGTCATGCCCCCCCCTTGTGGACAGGAATGTTTTCACGCCCCGTCACCCACCCACACCCCCACGGTGTGGGTGTATTAAGAACCTGATAACATGTATATTTTTATTTGTACAAACCACTGCGTGAGTTGCTGCCCCCTGGTGACTGGAGGCTTTACAGCAGTGCTACACTTACGTCCAGCGGGCCATATTCCATCGGAAGCCCTTCACGCCCCCCTAGGGGGGCCCGTCCCACTATTTGAGAAGTACTGACACTGGTACTTAGAACAACAAAGTTCAAAGTGTAAAAGAAAAAAAAAAAAATCTATGCAGACTTCTTTTTGGAGCCAAAACACAGAACAAAGCTACGACATCTGACTGCACAGGGATTGCACAATAGCAGAGCACACGAGTAACAATTAAAATGTTGACAGACAAGGTCTGCTGCGAGTTTACACAAGAGACGTCTATGGCCCCTTGGGACATGAATTAGTTGTGCGTGTGAGTGTGTGTTCCAGTGAGGGTGTGTGTATAAAGAAAAAAAAAAAAAGAAAAAAAGAAAAATATCAACGAAAACCTGCAAAACAGTGAGTTATTTTAGGGCAAAGCGAGTCTCCTGGCGTTCAACGACACTTCAGAAAATCGATACGCTGTCAGAATCTACGGAATTGGTGGTCAAAATGAGAGGAAAAGCAGATTTTCATTCCGTTTCGTTTATGTCTCGTCATTCACTGCAGCGGATAATAATCCTCGCCGGTTTTAATAATGAGCAGAAACGTCGACAGATCCCATTTTAAACGGGCATTTTAAAACATCTGACGTCGACAAATCCTATTTTAAACGGGCATTTTAAAACATCTGTTCTCTTCAAAGTGCCACGAAATTTAGGATGACATTATTTCAGCCCTCGTTTCCAGCACGCAGAGCTCGCACCGCCGCTGCTTCAAAGTCAACTACAACGCCGTTCCCGTAACAGCTACTGCATGTTGCGCCGTGGGGGAATCGGGCGATCTGGCTCAGCATCTCTGTTCACGCAAGCTGTTTACTTCATGCCCAGTGTTAATTAACTGAAGCAGGTGTTTTCTCAGTCTCCCATTACACCACATTCGCCGCTTCCTGATACCGATCCCTCACTTCCTGTTTTCATTAGTCCGCTTTTGTCAACGTGACATTTCTCCATTCCAATCTATATCTACTGGTTTTGCACTTCTGCTTAATAATAATGCAATGAAGTCTGTTGTGTATATATATATATATATATATATATTTTTTTTTTTCCTGGCCAGCCCTTGCGTCACAATTCCAAGAGATTTGTCATGCTTCAGATCATTTAAGGGGCACCCTTTGAAAAAAAAAAAAAAAAAATCTTCTGTTGACCCAGCTACGTAAAACATCTGCCCATTTACCTGCGTTACCTCAGAGACTCTGTTCTACATTTCTTAGATGCGTTGAGCTCAGCATCGTGATGCTCCTGAGTGTCGGCATTAAATGATTACCTCAGCAATTAAAACTGCACTTCCTCCAGGTTTTTTTTTTAAACATTCCGGGTAAAAGAGGAGAAGGAAACAAATCCCGTCTTTTACCAACTGGTGTGGTTCAATCGAAAACAAGTCTCACACACAGCGTTACGTTCAGGCCAGTACTTCTCAAATAGTGGGGCGGGCACGATGAGGCGTCGGGGGGGGGGGGGGGGAGGGGACGAGGGGCATAAGTGTACCTACATGTTATCAGGTTCTTCAATAGTATTTCAATTCACGGCGTGTGTGAAAACATCTGTCCCCAAGGGAGGGCGCTGGCACTGGTTTAGGGCAATGGTGTTAAACATACGGCCCGCAGGCCAAAACCGGCCCAATAGGGTGTTTAATCCGGCCTGCTTGATGAATTTTGAAAATAAAACAAAAATGAATTACTTCATGTTTGGAATATTTGTTACTTGCAATATTCTAATTGGCTTGAACTGATACTGATACTAACAATTGGCTAGATCCACTCTGTATAAGAGGTCTATGTGAAGTAAGACACAGCTGGTTTACAGCCCTAATGTGCAGCTCGTACAGAGACGACAGGAAAGCATTGGCAGTGCTGCGCCTTGAGGCGAAAGCTTCTGCATGGACGTTCAGAAACATAGGGGCAGACTCATCCTGAGGGAATTGTCCAGCTGCTGCTGCTGTTGCTGTTGCTGTTGCTACTGCTGCTGATGCTGCACATGCAGTCAAGTGTGTCTTAGTGTGGCCGGGTCAGATTTGTTTCATACCGTCTCCGGTCAGCTGAGTGAAGCGCGGAGAGATACAGCGTTATTTATTTTTCTTAGTTTTCTTATGAATAATGATAAGGGAAGTCTTTTCTGAACAGTAGACACATACATACATATATATATATATATATATATATTTACATATATATATATATATATATAGACATAAAGTATATATATATATATACACATACATACATACATATATACATGTATACAAATATATAAATAAATACACTTTAAATATTTTAAAAATGAATTGATTCACATAAATATATATATATATATATATTTATAAATGTATGTATATGTATAAATATATATGTATGTGTGTGTCTATAATGTATATATAGTAAAGTATATACATATATTTATGTATATATATAAACACATTTTATATATATATACAATTATATATATTTATGCATATACATACACATTGCATATATAAATATATACATTACTTTAAATGTGTATATACTGTACTTTACATTATATACATAGACATACACACATATAACTGTATAAACTAAATGACGCATTTGAATCGATTAAAGTATTTATTCAACAGTAATCGGGAACAATCGTGATTGATTGCAATTGTAATCAATCACGATTAATTGTGTTTGATCAAGGTCATGAGAAATGACTGCTGAAAACAACTCCGTCACCAAAGTCGTTTAAATTCAATATACGTTGAAGTCAATATATGTTTAACTTTTCAGTATTTTTAGGCATTTTTATTTATATGAAAATGTGAAAAAAAAAAGTCTACTTCTCCACAGGATAAACTGCAGAATATCTTTAACAATGATTAGTCAGTGGCCTCGTGGCTTTGGCTGAACACGTTCAGATTTTTTTTTTTTTAAAAATCCGACTGCTTGTTCAGTTCACCAACACAAACCAGTTGTGTTCGGAACAGTACGTCTGCATAGATTCAAAAAGTCACTGCATCTCGTCACGTGGCCCGACCTGAAGAACAGGACGGGCTGTGTGTAAAGTTGTGACAGAGTGGCAGGAAAAAAAAGCAAAGCGCACTCTTCTCACAGCTGTCAAACAATAACGGGGGGGGGGGGGGGAAAAAAAAAAAAAAAAAAACACACTCAACTCACATGGCCATGTCGAACTGCTCCAGCCACTTCTTCTTCAGCTCTTTGGTCTTGAAAAAGAACTCAAAGCCACTCTGTCCCTGGTTGTGAGTGAGGTAGAATCCATAGGACCACTGCAACAGGGAAGAAGGACGGGCAGGTGGGTACACATTCGAAGTAAACAATAAAGTACTACAACTGTAGTGCGGAGCTACGAGGGAACCGGTGGAAGCTAGCCAGGACGCAGAGACAGCTGGAGACGAAGAGATGCAAAATGAAAGAGGAATGCTTCAGGGAGAATAAACATAAAGGCTAAAGGTGGGGGGGGGGGGGGGGGGCGGCAGTACAAGTGACAGCGCGGAGAGGAAAGAGAGAAAACGAGGTTGCGATCAGCTCCTGTCACCTAAACCGAACGGCCAAATGAACTGCTACAACTACTATCATCAAGATACGAGCGTCTCGACATACGAGCTAGCCTTCGAGAAAATTTTTTTTGCTTCGAGATACGAGTAAAGATTTGAGATACGAGAGCGCTTACAGACGCCGACGCTAGGTGGCACTTCACGTGTTCGTCGACTTCCGTACGCGTCTCCCGCGATAGTCTTTCGTATTGCGTTTGCGTTACCTACGTGATTTTTCTCTCTATTTTGTGCATTATTCTTCATAATAGCGATGAGTCTTAAGAGAGTGAGTGGTAAGGATGGTAGGGAGAAGAAGAAACGCACGATGACCGTGGAAATAAAGCATGACATCGTCGATAAATATGGGCACGGTGCTCGTTAAAGAAAGAATACAAATCGAAAAATGTAAAAAAAAGAAAAAAGTAAAAAAAAAGAAAAAACGTAAATTAAGCTAATTCGAAGTTTATGTAAGTTACGAAATCAAGTGTCTACGTACGGGCCAACTTTCTTCCCTCCCTCTCTCCTCCTCCTCCGCACATGCCGCCATTAGCCGCTACTGTACCGTCTTTTTTTGTTTGTTATTAGCACTAATAGATTAATTTTTTTTTTTGTTATGTCTTATGCGGACAAAATGATTCGAGATACGAGCTCAGTCCTGGAACGGATTACGCTCGTATCTCGAGGTTCCACTGTATTCTGTTTTTTTTTTTTGTTTTTTTTTTTTAAATAAGATTAGCTATAAAAAATTCCACTTTTTAGGGCTCCTACTTGTGGATCTAAACTCCTGGCACTCAGCTCTGGAGGCGGAAAACATGCCAACGTGCCTCAGTGTGCTGTCAGCGGAGCTTAGCAGCTCATCTTTTCTGTTGAAAGACAGAGAGGCGAAGGCAGCTCCTCCACACAGGCATTCCCAGTGGACACGCAGGCCTCCGCTTAGCAAAGATATTGTCTAGCTACCAATTTGTAAAGAAGGATGAGGTGTTTGTCTGTGGTTCCTGTCAGCGTAGCCGTTTCCCTTCTCTGCCAAGGTTACCTCTATAATATAAAAGGATGACAACTCTGAACTGATAGCGCAATATATTTGTTTGCTTCTGGAAACATTTTTAACCAGGACTTTGTTCCTGCCTCTCAATGTCAACGCGCCGGAGTGAAACTCGTTCTCGGGTATAGATTTTTTTTTCTTTTTCCCTTAGATTTAAGGTAACGACGGCGAGCTTGTTAGCGGGTATCTATTTCTCTCGCGCACATTACCATTCATTTGTAGTCACGCCTCCGGCAAATCTCGGTCTGATATTCCCTCTTTTAACTCTGTTGGTATCGACAAGTTGGAGGCTAGTATTTATCAATTCCCGAGAGAAATATCTGACTTCAAATGTTCGGACGGCTATTTTGTGGCGTGCTGCGGTTCAGGTTGGGTGGAACGGTATTTTTAGAGTGTTTTTTGTGCCGTAAACAGCTGCTCTTTTTGAATCCAAACATTTAGCTGAAAGATGTGGAAATGGTTCTGAAGAGCCGGGGGGGGGTAGAACGGGGAGGGGGGGGGGGGCTGGAACGCCCGGGGAAAAGTAAAACTCACTGGTAAAGGACACAGAATAATTAGATCTTTTCTACATCTAAGAGTGTTTAAGCTTTTAAAGGTGGAGAAATGATAGAGGGACCACAAGGGGGCGGCATATAAAAATTCATATACTGACTCAATTATCATAATAGTACATTAATTGTTGATAAAAATTGTATTTAAAAAACAATGATTGACAAGATGTTTCACTGCTTGACAGTGTAAATTTCACCTATTAATAATAATTTAATTAGTTCATATTGGATTAGGTTAGATCAGATTAGATTAGGATTTTAAAGGATTGGATTGGATTAGATCAGATTAGATTAGCTAAAACTAGATTAGATTAGATTAGATCAGATTAGATTAGGATTTTAAAGGATTGGATTGGATTAGATCAGATTAGATTAGCTAAAACTAGATTAGATTAGGATTTTAATTAATTGGATTGCATAAGATTAGATTCATATTTCAAGGGCTTGGATTAGATTGGATTAGATCAGATTAGATTAGCTAAAACTAGATTAGATTCGGATTTTAAAGAATTGGATTGGATTAGATTAGATTCAGATTTCAAGGGCTTGGATTGAATTGGATTAGATCAGATTAGATTAGGATTTTAACGAATTGGATAAGATTAGATTCAGATTTCAAGGGCTTGGATTGGATTGGATTAGGGATTAGACCAGATTAGCTAAAACTAGATTAGATTCGGATTTTAAAGAATTGGATTGGATTAGATTAGATTCAGATTTCAAGGGCTTGGATTGAATTGGATTAGATTAGAATAGATTAGACTGGGATTTCAAAAGATTAGATTAGATTAGATCAGATTAGATTGGGATTTTAAAGAATTGGATAAGATTAGATTCAGATTGCAAAGCCTTGCCTTGGATTGGATTGGACTGAATTAGATTAGGTTAGAATAGAGTAGATTAGGATTTCAAAGGATTGGATTGGATTGGATTAGATCAGATTAGCTAAAACTAGATTAGATTAGGATTTTAAAGAATTGGATTGGATTAGATTAGATTCAGTCCAAAGATTCAAAGCCTGGCTTGGATTGGATTAGATTAGGTTAGGATTTCAAAAGACTGAATGATTGGATTAGATTAGATCAGGATTTTAAAGAATTGGATTAGATTAGATTCAGATTCCAAAGCCTTGGATTGGATTGGATTGGGTTAGAATAGATTAGATTAGGATTTTCAAGAATTGGATTAGATTAGATTCAGATTTCAAAGCCTTGGATTGGATTCGTATCAGATTTCCAAGGCTTGTATTGGATAAAATTAGATTAGATTAAATTAGAATAGATTAGGATTTTAAAGGATTGGATTGGTTTATGTACAGGGTATTTTCTACATGGAAAATACCTTTAAGAGCTGAAGAACCAGCTACTGCTGCTGGCATGTGTTTATCTCTTTTATACATGGAAAATACCTTTATGTAAATACCTGCTGCTGGCATGTGTTTATCTCTTTTAAGACAATCAGTTTTTTAACTATGTGACCTGTAGTATTTTGAATATTCCAGTTTGTCGCTGGAGGTTGTTTACTACAACAATTTTAATCTTGGTATTCCGATATATATTAAAAACAAAATTAACAAACAAAATGCAATGCCATTTGAATGACTCTGAAGGCAACATTATTGTTATTATTAGCTACATTCTTTACCGCAGCACGCCTGGGATATCATTACTCACTATGATTGGGAATACAGTACTTTCCACTACTTCGCAGGAAAGGCGTTTACACAATAAGTTGGAGTGTGCGTGTGCGTGTGTGTGTAGCAGGGCGGGGTGGCGTGACATTATTTGTAACACCCTCTGCGAGGAGGGCAGGCGGTTCGTGTCTTGGCCGTCACAGTAAACAAGTCAATGTAAAACCTGAGCTGAATTTCAGCACATTTGGTTTGGAGGGGTGGAGTTAAGGGAAATTTTATGAACCCGCGCCCGTGATAAAGTGTTACGGTCGCTCGTTAGGCTGAAGAAGTGCTGTTAAATGGTTTGTCAGGAGTCCAAAGAGGTTTTACAGCTTCGCTGACTCAGCCATAAAGACGGAGATTACGATGAATGGAAACGGTTATGAGGTTTCCATCCAACCGTAGTTCGTTGGCTGTGAAACGCTTGTTGTGTCCTATAATTGTGACTATATTTGATTACATTTTAACCATCCTTATCATTCACTGTGCTCGGACTTAATGAGTCACATGTGTCTTGATGACAGGAGCAAATCCAAATTGAGGAAACAGAAAGTTTAGGGTAGAAAGTTCAAATGTTAAATGGAACTTTCTGCACTCAGATGTTTTTTACAGTGCAACCATCTATTCCCCGGCATTCCCAGTTCCTAATTTCAAGCAATTTTGACAGTTCAAACTCTGAAACAAGGAAGCAGAAGCACAGGAAAAACAACATCGGTCTCCATGCGTCTTCGCACCTTTCTGTTCTCCTTATCTGACGTGGGGTTGTTGGTGACCTTGAAGTGGTGCAGGTCGATCACCTCTTTCATCTCGTAGTTGTCTCCTCGACGCTTGCAAACGATAACAGCCGCATCAAAGAGGAAGATGTGCCTGCGGTTCAAACGACACAATGTCGATGAGAGGAGCCGAGAAAAGAAAAAAAAACAGAAGAAAAATCAGTGACACCTTGGAGCTAAATGGGAATAACCTGAGGTGCGTCCTCTTAACCTGAAATCTACAAAGTGCATTTTCCGACGCCGCAAGAACTCATCTCATTTATTATACATTAGCGGTTACTATTTGTGCGGCGCGACGTGGTCAGAATCAGAGCCTTTCCAGTTCCTGTGGTCGATGAAAATAAACACAGACGTTTGTCCTGATCTGAAAGAATAACTTTGGCCAGTGTTCAGAATCAAGATTTAAATATGTATTTTAAAGGTGAAAATCTTGATCTTTAACTTTATACACCTGGTGCACAGCAGGAGCTGGGACTCCCTACTATATATAGCACAAATATATGTATAATAAGGCCTTTAGAATTGTTAGCAGACCTATATTAAAATTTAAAAATGTTTTTCTATCTAGTCGTCAGGCAAATGGGCGTCATCCAAAGACACTTCAGATGAAGGTGAGTCATTGGGCGCCAATAAAATTTCTAAGGAATACGACGGAAAAAAAACAAACAAACAAAAAGAAATCCTATTTGTCAGACTTCTGGAAAGTGAAAGTATAAAATGACGGCCGTGCCACTGCTATTTAAAAACATGATTTGTCAATTGATACCAATGCTAATATCAATATTGTTTGTCAGCTGTTAATTTTGAGATGTTTGAATTTGTTGAAAAAAAAAATCAACAATTTGGGGCTGGGAAGAAATACTGATATATAAAAAAACAAAATCATGTCCCTCGTAGTGTACCCTGGGGAACACCTCTTGTATGAGTCGCTTCGTAAGTTCAATAACACTAACAGACATTTAACAGCATGGCTAAAGGGCACTAAGTAGTACTACAAGGCATGAGTTCAAAATACTGCAGTAAAAGGCGTATTCACGTGTAACTAAATCTCACAGAGAAGTTCCAGCAAATACTTCAGCTACATAAACTTGTCGGCGGATGCAGTTTATCGTAACGTAGGTAACAAAAAACCCCGGACTGAACAAACAGGTTGGGAGGTTCTGGTGACAACGGGCCAAAAAAAAAAAAATGACAGGTGATGTGATTGATACTCAGGTTCGCCTCGAAGTGTAACAACAGCTGAATCAAGTCGCAGCGCAAGTCACTCCATCAACCTACATGTCAACCTGACAACTCACCTGTCCTGTTTAGCTCGCTTGTCCACCGAAGCCACCCGTACCTCCCCATCTCCTTTGGGTCGGCCGTAGTTACTGAGAGGCTGATTCTGGAGACGAAAAAGAAACACAATCTGTTGTGAAGTTGGAGCACAGCAAAAAAAAATAAATAATGAAAATAAGTGTCTGTTTCTTACCAGATTTTCTATGGATTTCTGATACTGGTCTATTTCCCTCAGTGTCTCATTGTCTCGCTTGACTTCATTAACGTACTGAGCCAAATCCTGTAAACAAATAAGTAGTTGATTTGATTCGCCTTAATTCACAATTACCCCCCCAAAGGCGAAGGTTTTTTTAATTAACTCAAGTTCCTCTTGTGATATAATGTATTCTTTGGATATTTTTGAATGTTTTATCTCATTTACATACATAAAAGAAAGAAGAAAAAAAAAACTCCCTGCCCTCCTTATTCGCCGTTAATTTCTCCTTACTTGCTTGAGATTCTTTTAGTTCGAGTTTGCCTGTTGTGTCTGATTTTAAAATAACTTTCTGCTGATTCAGGCCTGCAAACTCAGCTGCCTGATGACATGATGGGGCCATTCAAATAAAATTAACTCGATTAAAAATAGGACTGTTCTTCAAACGACTTCTAAGTACTTCGCCGTGCGTATTCAATTCATTGAGGTATTACATCACTTACGAACAGAAGGAACCCCTGCGTGATTGGATTCATCGCAGCAAGTGAAAATAAGTGAGAAAAAATATTCCCCCCCCCCATCAGGAATGGTCGGTTCCATAATTGATTTTATACTAGTGGGAATACATCGTCAGAGAAGAAGGACCGGGTTGATGGGAAGGTCTGTCGAGGTGTTCAGTGTCTGTTGTTGAGTGTGAGTGTAAGTTGGTGACTTTTAATTGTACCTTCATAGCATCCAGGGCCTTCCGCAGGTTGCTCTTATCCGTAGCATCGTGAGTGTGTTTGACCAGCTCCTGTTGGATAGAAGCGAAACACACAGAAGCTGTGAGCCTTTCTAGGATATAGATAGATGATGGATAGATAGATAGATAGATGGATAGATAGATGATAGATAGATAGATAAATAGATAGATAGATAGAAAGATAGATAGAAAGATAGAAAGATAGATAGATAGATGATAGATAGATAGATAGATAGATAGATGGATAGGTAGATAGATGGATAGATAGATAGATGGATAGATAGATAGATGGATAGATAGATGATAGATAGATAGATAGATAGATAGATAGACAGACAAAAGATAGATAGATAGATAGATAGATAGAAAGATAGATAGAAAGATAGATAGATAGATGATAGATAGATAGATAGATGGATAGAAAGATAGATAGATAGAAAGATAGAGAGATGATAGAGAGATAGAAGGATAGAAGGATAGAAAGATAGAAAGATAGAAGGATAGATGGCTAGAAAGATAGAAGGATAGAAGGATAGAAGGATAGATGGATAGAAAGATAGATGGATAGAAAGATAGAAAGATAGAAAGATAGCAGGATAGAAAGATAGAAGGATAGAAGGATAGATGGATAGAAAGATAGAAGGATAGAAAGATAGAAGGATAGAAAGATTGAAGGATAGAAAGATAGAAAGATAGAAAGATAGATAGATAGATGATAGAGAGATAGATGATAGAGAGATAAATGATAGATAGAGAGATAGATAGATAGAAGGATAGAAGGATAGAAAAATAGAAAGATACATGGATAGAAAGATAGAAAGATAGAAAGATAGAAGGATAGAAAGATAGAAGGATAGAAGGATAGAAAGATAGAAGGATAGATAGATAGATAGAACTTTTTTAATCCCTGATTTTTGTTAGCCACTTCTAAATCCGGAAATTGTACGTACAGATAAAAGAAAAAAATGAAACAACTCCGCGTGTGTGGTTTTCACCAGTCGATGACAGTATATAAGGATGATTCATAAAGCAGCAACAACACGGAGATACATAAAACTCCGTCGGCCTCCACCAGCCTGTTTACACATTCCACACACGTAGGAGTCGAACACTTTGGCTCAAGATATGGAATGAAAAAAAAAAAGGTGATTGCAAAAAGAATCCGGTGCAGAAGTAAATCAGATTTGGTGTGCAGGTGGTGTGTACCTCTGTGTGTGTTCGCGTATGAGTGTGTGTGTGTGTGTGGGAAAAGCCTCAGTGTAAACAAGACATCTAGACCCCAGCCGAGGAGGATAAGGAAGGATGGCATGCATGTCCTTTACACACACACACACACAGGCACACACAGACATTCATTCAGCTGCATAGGGAGATATAGATGTGTCTACGAGGCACTGCTCAAATCCCTGGTGTCAGTCAAGCTCAACCTGGGCATTATTATCATCTAGCAGGACGACAGGACGACATTTTCCACCTCCACACATCCACGCCGATACAGACGAGGGGAGTGGTCGCGCCGATAACGGGGACCACACGTGATGGACTCAGTTCAGGCAAGAATGTGGCGGTGGCTTCGGGGAGGGGAGCAAAGAAACGATGAGCGTCGGCCGTGAAAAAGAGAGGAAGACGGACGACAAGAGAAGGCACGAGGAGAGGAATGACGTGACGCAGGACGCACTCGGGCAGTGGGAAGGATGTGACGAGACGTTAGCTGGACATATTGTCTCTGTCACCACGGAGAAGAAGAAGCCCAGCTGATGCTTTATTTACTGTAGGTAACTATCGCCCCCGCGGTTAACTGTAGGTCCTTAGCCCTCAGTGACAAAGCAGACATGTATTTCACATATATATTGCTTAATATATTGCTCAAATCCATATATAAACCTGCATATCAAAGAAGGTTATATCAGTGTGAGTAACATCTGATCTACTGTAATAGAGATGTCCTTTCGAAACATCCACGCTTTGAGATCCGTTTCCAAACTGTCAGAATATATTTATCAAAATATATATATATTTTTTTTTTAACTATGATCAAAAGCTTTTTCAACAATTTCCCCGCATTTAAATCGACCAGAATAAAGGTATGTTTGGGTGACTTGGTGGATGAATCAAAACAGTATTTTTGAATGAGCAAATATCAACATTTTAGCAGATAAAATATATGTAAATATATATATACATATATATATAATATGAAAAAAAAAACCTCTAATTAAGAGATTAAATGTTTTGGACATATTTGTAAAGCCTTTTGAATAAAATAATAGAATTCAATCAGGAGCATGCTAGTAAAAACGTGGATTACTATTGGTTTAACACCCGTCACACTGAATGTATGTTGAGACTTCTAGCAACTTGACAACACTTTTGATGTGTTGTCTATTTGCATCAGCCTGGAGTCAAACGAGAGGCAGAACAGATGAGAGAAGTCTCACAGCTTCAGGGAAAAAAAAAACGTGGACAACAGACCCTCTGGTGGCCATATGGGGTACTGTCAGCTCCCCCCTTCCTTGTCCCTCAGTGTTATTGTCAGCAGTGAAGCCATTAATGAACCAAAACGAGGAACTTCAACGTAATGTATATTGTGACAGATTAAAACAGAAAGCTCATTAAACAGCTGCCTAGCGTTCACAGCGGGGAGATTACAACAATTATTCATGTAGTAACACTAAAAACTCCCTTCAAATGTTGCTGTAGTTTAACGTTTGACATGTGTTCATTTTTTATTAATCACTTAGATTATTTTATTACCAGAAAAAAAGAAATGTGTTGAGTTAAACGTGGTAGTAAAGGCTTTATTTTAACACATTTTGTGACTGTCTAAAAAAAAATCTTAAGGACTCAAGGTGACAGCTGTTGAGGAAAAAAAATATTATTTAAAATTATAATTTATTAATTATTATGAATATTTCTCTCTTTTTTTGTTTTATTGAGGAAAGGGATGCCACAAGGAATGAGAGATGGAGGGGTTGGCATTAGGAGTTTAAAAATAAAAATAATATAATATATGATAAAGAAATAAACGAAAACGTGATACGGTTTGTAGCTCCGTACAAATTGGGCCTTTTTTCCCCCGTTATTTATCTCGTTTTCGTCTGTACTTTTGATGACTACTACTACTACTACTATTTATATGTTTATATTTTTTTTTTCTGAGGCCAGTTTTATTTTGTTTTATATGTTCTTATTTTCATCGCACCTTAATTTCACTGTCATTGTGTGCCGTGTCATGTGACGAAATAACGATTCTTGATTCTTAATATGACGAAGGTTTTCAACAGGTGGTCTGCATGGGTACTGCAGGGTGTCGTACGGTTTAGTTTAAAGTAGTAGACACGTCGTTAATATATATATTAAATATATATTAAATATAATATTAATATATTTTCCTATATATTGCTTTTTTTTTATTTTCATGTGTATAAATTAGAGCTGTGCACCGGAACAAATTTTTTTTTATTTGATTAAATACAGGTTTGCTGTGGCTTAATCGGCTAAACATGATTAATCTTTATCATATCTAATCTAGATTACCCATGATTAATTGAAATGTATCAGCATTTGTAAATATGACAAAAAAAAAACCAAAACATTTTTTTACTGTATAAAAGAACAGAGAATGGTTTGTACCTGCAGCAGTAGATGATACTTCAGGACTCGCTGCATCGGTACCACCAGCAGATCTCTTAGTGTGAACTTGCCATAGTTTGCTCTCTTGGAACACTCCTGTACAGAACAAAATAAAAATAATTACAATAAACTCACCTAAACAACCAGGGGTTATGTCTTAAGATCAACTACAAAATCTGCAAAGATTCATATGGGTTTACGATTAAAAAAAAAATAAGCAGCAATATCCTGCAGTACCTAAGGTTACCACTTGAGGGCAGGCGCCGACCACTGATGCAGCGTCAACCTGGCTCCAAGTAAGAACGTCTGTTTTTGTTTATCAACAGTGACAGGACTTTACCTCCAGCTTCATGCGGACGTCCTCCCTGTCTTTGCTGATGTCGTCCAGCGTGGCGATGGCGGCCTCGACGTGGCTGCAGTATTTCCCGTAGATCAACAACCTGCAGCAGACATTCGGAGAAGTAAAGAAACCGCATGATTCTGAACTGTCTTAAAGAATTCATTTTTGTTTTACCGTAGCAATAACAATAAAAAATAACAGTGGTACAGCCATGTGGATTTCTCATAGGAAACCACTGGCTGTCATTGGAAAATTATGCTATGGAAACTGACCAATCAGCAGCCTCCAAATACTGTGAAACACCAAAAACTGTATCATTATTATTCATGGATTTTGTTTTTTAAATATTTGACATGTAATACAGTGAAACCACGATTTTCATATTCCCTTTTAACCGTCAGTTAGTATTATTGTGCAGATGAATTGGTTAATGAATTAAAAATAATAATAATAAAAAAACATTTAGGATTATTTTAGTTAAAACCTTTGTTTCGACAGGTTCAATACTAGCACGTGATTGGCTATTAAGTTCATCCAGGAAACTGAGGTAAAAAGGTTCGTAATTGTATCTTTTGTGAAGTTATTGCCATTTGATAGCCTATTATAACCCCATGTTCTTTTCTATGTCCTCTACCCTATATATGTATATATGTATGTACTGTATATATTTATAAATACATATATTATTTCCTTCTTTAAAGCAATTATATTTAACTAAAAAAGTTACCTCTGCGCCATGACGCATTAAAGTGGAATACTTTTAGTGCAAAAAAAATATGAAATAGTATTTGTCTTTTTTAATTCATGCAACATTGATAGGCAGGCCAATTCAATACTTTGCCACCAGGTGGCAGCAAATGGCTATAAAATTTTTAAAATATATATTCTCCAGAGCAGAGATGTCAAACTTGTTTTCAAAGGGGGCCAAATCAGCAATACAGTTCCCCTTGAAGGGCCGGTTGTAACTGTAACTGGTCCTCAACTCCTGGTCCGCGGACCAGTACTAGTCCATAGATCATTTGGTACCGGGTCGCAATGGGACACAGTGAAAAAATGTACTTAATTTTTACTTAATTCAAAGAAAGTCATATCCATTTACCTTCTTTATTTAATGATAATCTGGCAAAAAAAAAAATCAAATTTTTAAAAAATAGGTTATTCAGAATAGATGTTTTATTTTGAAAATGTAATGATCCTTCGATGCTCAGTACCTTGCTACCGGTCTGTAGTAACGGGTGGTACTGGCTGACCAGTCCCTGAACCAGAAAAGATTGTGGACTTTCTTAGGTTCAGAAACTCTGCTGCATGGACTTTACTAAATACTTTTTAAGCTCCCGCGGGCCACACAAAACAGCTTGGCGGGCCACATTTGGCCCCCCGGGCCTTGAGTTTGACACGTATGCTCTAGAGACTCAGGCTCTATTTGTGTCTTCCTTCAACTCCTGCCAGTATATTAGTGTTGATTTCAACTAAACAGGCCCAGATGTCACAGTATGTAAGTACACCTGTGAGTAATCCAAAACTTAAATATCATTTTATTTTATTACATATTCCTTTTTTTTTTTGTTTGGTGGTGTGTCTGAGCCTCAAACGTTGATCAAAAACACTACAGATACTGCACTGTTTGAAACTCCGGTCTGGATACGAGAGGCTCTCGTACCGACATATGTTCCTCATCATGTGTAAATGCGAAAGTGTTTTGACTCAGTTCCTGTTACAGGTTTTGTAGATCGAGAGATTGTGTCCTCTGAAGATATTTGTTTGTTTGTTTAAGCGTTCATACTTTCTGTGGAAGACTTGTGGTGTACCTTTCTTTGAAAATGATGAAGATCTGGAAGAGGTTCTGGGCACTTCTGTGGTACACTGAGTCTTGGATTTCCACCAGTAAACATTTGTGAACTTTAACCAGTTCCTGAAACGGCACAGAAACAGAGTTAAGAGTCGAAAAACCGGCCTGCGGTTTAAAAACTTCCATATCAGAACCGGTTTGACAAACAATTCAAACGACCTCAGAAAAATAAAGAAAAACGCAAGAAGCGTTCTTATAATGGCAACATTACTAATAGAACACACACATACAGTATAAATATAGCCACACATATATATAAAAAAAATCTGTTTTTGAATTTAAATTGTATTTACACATACTTTTTATGTCACACACACCCCCTAGTGGCAGCTCACCAGAATCCCTCTAAACCAGTATTTCTTAAATAGTAAGATATATATGTAATATATATGTATATATATATATATATATGTATATATATATTTAATATGTAATATATATGTAAGTGTACCACTGCTGTAATACTTGAATGCTAACAAGCCTCCAGTCACTAGGTGGCAGCACCTCATACAGTGGTTTGTGCAGATAAAAATATACATGTTATTAGGTTCTCAATAGTATTTCAATTCGTGGAGATTTGGGTAGGTTGGGGGGCATGAAGACATTTCTGTCCACAAGGGGGAGCATGACAGAAAATTATTGAGAAGTGCTCTAATCTAATTTTCAGTTTGCTGATGGTAACGGAATACTTAGGTGTATTAAGTATATGTACAGTACGTACAGTATATGCACTGAGACACAGAGAAATGCGTATACAAAAACATCCGTCTCACCAGTCGACCCGTTGCTTAGATACATACGGCGTCAGACAGTGACTTACCACAACGTTGACAAACACTCGCTCCATCTCGACCGTGGACAGGAACATGGAGAGGGGCGACATAAAGTGCTGCACGACAGAAACAGAGAGAGAGAGAGAGAGAGAGAGAGAGAGAGACAGAGAGGGGAGAAAACGCAATGAGAGTGAAGCTCTTCCCTCTGGAGTCAGAGCGGCAGAGTGGCATTCTGTGAAAAGTTATTACATTGTAGTTGTAAAGAGCCGCAGTCAGCAGAAACAAGCAGGACCGTCTGGGTCACGGCAATAATCTCATTTTTAGAGTTTGCAATTTGATGATTTCCTCTCAGGGAAAGAAGAAAAAAAAAAAAAAAAAAACGGCGCCACGGCGCAGTCACCTCCACATCTCGAAGCGGTGGGTGAGCCTAAACTACACTCCACTGTTTCCACTCCACCATCCACTTCATACCCAAAGTCATCTAGTAGAGACGCTCCGCTGGGAAATCAAACAAACGCTTTCTCCAGACGTGAGCGTGCACGTGCAAGAGTCAAACGGAGAGAGCAGAGCTGTAGCTGTGAAAAATATCCTTATTCACGTATGTCAAACATAAGGCCCGTGGGGCCAAATGTGGCCCGCCGCATTTCATTTTTGCGGCCCATTCTGAGCTTATCGGGGACTGTTGAATTAACGTTAACGCTGCTCGGCCCAAAACTGAAACTTCACTGTTGTTCATCGGTTCTTGGTCTTGCATATATATATATATATACTGTATATATATATATATAAATATATATATATATATACTGTATATATAT